CACAAAATAAAAGGAGTCTAATTACATTTGCCCTGGTTTTCATGGGGACACCAAGAATTTTCAGTTACCACAGGCTGTCTAAATTTGCTTTGCAGGAAGTTTACATAAGGAATTTTTTGTTTGTTTGTTTGTTTTCCAGTACCAGGAATCGAACTCATGACCTTGCGCTTGCCAGGCAGGCGCTGTGCCACTGAGCTAAATCCCCAGCCCTACATAAGGAATGTTACATTGGACATTTTAAAGCTCTTGAGGCCAGCAGCCAAGCCACAAACTTGCCACTAAATCTCACCCAGAGTACTCTTTGAGCTGGGGCAATTCCTCTCTAGACTCTCCATTGACCCAGGTTCCTGGGTCTGTCAGAAGTCACCTTCCTTACTCACCTAGAACTGTGGGAATGCTGTACACCAGATACCAGGGTAGTTTTCCCAAAGGGCTTGCTAAGGGCTTGGTTCCATAAAGTAAAGTGTAGTTCCTTAAAGGTATCTGTGGGAGGCGTGGTGGCACATGCCTATAATCCACAGGAGGCTGAGGTAGGCAGATTGCCTCTAGTTCAAAGCCAGCCTGGGCTACATAGTGAGTTCAGGGCCAGCCTCAATTACATGGTGAGACCCTATCTCAACAAACAAACAAAAGTATCTGGTCATATCAAATTAAATGGGCACCATTCTCAGGCTAGGGGTGCAGTTCAGTGGTAGAGCACTAGCCTGGCAGGTTTTAGGCCCTAGGTTTAAACCCTAGTACCAAAAAAAAAAGAAAAACATCATTGTCAACTATGACATTCCAGGCCGGGGAGATAGCTCAGTGGCACAGCGCCTGCCTGGCAAGCGCAAGGTCCTGAGTTCAATTCCCGGTACCAAAAAAAAAAAAAAAGAAAAAGAAAAAAGCTATGACATTCCTGGCAAGGCCTTATATAACTGGTGTTTCCAATTCGTTTCCATTCATACAAAGGAGAATTTATGGCAATAATTGATATCAATCATGAAAATAAGAATATTCAATAGGAGTTTTAAATTTTAGAGGTCAGGCAGCACGAAACCATTGTACAAACAGTTCATTTCTGGTCGGGTGTGGTGGCACATCCTGTAATCCTACTTACTCAGGAGGCTGAACCAGGAAGAGCACAAGTTTGAGGCCAGCCTGGGCAACACAGCAAGACCTGTCTCAAAAAGAAATAATAAAACAAAATGGCAAGGGATGTAGCTCCGTGCTGTGTTCAATCTCCAATATTGCAAATGACCCACTTCTATTTACAAAACACAGCCTATAAAACTGTTATGAGTTATTAGTAACTTAAGAGAACAGAAAAAGGGCTCCTGACCTATGCAGATAACTTTCAAATGGGAGACTGGGTGATGGCCCAATACAGACCATGCAACTTACAGTAATCTGGTGGTCTCTGCATGTGAAAAAAGACATCAAAAAGTCAATAAAAGTTGTCAACTATAAACATGATTGACCTATCTCCAGTAAACAAATGCCATGTGATTTCTCCAAGGGCCCTCAGAGAAACTAAAAGACAGTTTAGGTATAAAAGAAATCCTTTTTTTTTTTTTTTTTTTGAGACAAGGTCTCACTATGTAATTCAGGTTGGCCCTGAACTCACCATGTAGCCCAGGCTGGTCTCAAACTTGCAGTGATTCTCCTGCCTCATCCTCCCAAGTGCTAGGATTACAGGCATGTACCACCACGTCATAAAAGAGATCCTAAATGGACATTATTCTTAAATATGACATTTCAAGGGAGATGCTAGAAATTTTCATTTTTATTTATTCATTTACTTATTTTAAAATGAAGTCTATGTTGCCCAGGCTAGTCTCAAGCACATGGGTTCAAAGGATCTTCTTAACTCAGCCTCCCAAAAGCTGGAACTACAAGCATGGGAATTTTGTTTTGTTTTAATGTAGGACTCAATATAGGAAAGGAAAAAAGGCAAGAGTTATCTAGAGAGTCAAACATTTAAGATAGGAATCGAATCACTAGTACCTGAGAAACAGTACTTTGCTGTTCAATTCAAACTGACAATATTAAGACATTTAAAAGTAAACACAGGGCCATTGTGCTCTCCTGCATGATGGCCCACCCTCACACAGTAGGTGCATTTCTTTTCCTACTTCTACTTGGCCCACACTTGCTCTGAGAAACAGAGCCTGCTTCTTTCCCTACCTTTAATAAAACTTTGCTACTTTTTTTTTTTTTTTTTTTTTTTTAATAGGGGTGGTGACACACACTTGTACTCCCAGGAGGCAGGGAGATCACTGCGAGTTTGAGGCTAGCCTGAACTACACAGCGAGACCCTGAGTCAAAAAACAAACAAACAAACAAAAAACCCCCAAAACCCGAAGATAACATATTTGCAAATAACCCTGCTCTTTTCTTAAATGTGAAATTTCATCTCCATAAATATTCAAAGTTATAATAAAGTCAGTATAAACCTCAAAGGCAGAATCTGGGTTGTCCAGGTAAATTACATGGCAGAATGAGTAAGTCTTTATGAGAAATGTGAAGGTACTGAATAGCAAACAAAGGAAACAAGCCCATTAGACTCAACCTGCTTCACTAAGATTTTAACTTTTCAAACTCCAGGTATTAAACCAAGGGAAAAAAATTTCCCAAATTTTGTCTTTTGCTATAAAATTTTATAGTCTGGAACACACTGACAGTCTCAGGGGTCTGTGGGCAGTTGACAATCATACTAAGGTGCTACTACTAGGCAATGTGTTCATCAAATAATAAACAGCATTTAAAGCTTTTTCTCAGTTTCCCAGGTAGTAAACATCAATACTTACAACCAGAATGAAAGCTGTTTGGGAAACACAACAGGGTAGGAACTTTTAAAAATATCACCTTTTGCAACAAAACTACTCTTTTCCTTGAGGAATAGAATATGCACTAGGCTGTATTTCTTGCAAACTATTTCTACTACGTGTACAGAAGAACCTTTAATTTTGGGGTTTGTTTTTTGAGATAGGGTCTTGTTATGTAGTTTAGACTGGCCTTGAACTCACTATCTAGCCTCCACTATTAAAAAAACAAAAAAACAACAAAAAACACCACTGAGATAATCAACTTATAAAGAGTTTACTGTGACTGTTTTGGATGTTCCAGGCAATCCTCATTTGGTTCCATTGCTTCTGGGCCAGTGATATAGAAGCCTTTCTGTTGTTGTTTTGAGACAGGGTCTTGCTCTGAAGCCCAGGCTGGTAAATTCACGGTGATCTTCCTGCCTCAGCTCCTGAGTGCTGGAATTACGTGTGTGTGCCACCACTCCCGCATCGCTCGAAGTGTTTTATCTTATTAAGGACTTTCACCCTGATTTAGAGAAGCTGTACCAAACTCAACTCTTCTCTCCAACTGGTCAGGTTATTTTTTTCTCAGAGCCAGTCAATCCCAAGTGTTACCCATGCTTCCTCTAAGGTTTTTCCAAAGTAGCACATCTTTCTTCCTTGTATACCACGGCCATCTGTTTCAGTCTTTTCTGCTGCTACAACAGACTACTACAGACTGTGTAATTTTAAACAACAGAAGCATATTCGGCTTATAGTCATGGAGAATTAGTGCAGTAAGCTATATTTTTTATGGTTTAGATCTATAATGTCCGCAAAACTCACGTGCAATTAAGACACCACTGTACAAGCAAAAGCCTTCCCTGCCTGGGTTGGTTTAAAGGCTCAGCTAAACAGTTGCTCAAGCAAATACTAAAGGTAAGGGAACAGTGTTGCTCCCCTAAGGCACTGATGTCTTGTTCTGGACTATTTCTCCCTGCTTTGTAAAACTTAACTGTATTGTACTTGTTTGTTTATTTGTAGACAGGGTCTATGTTGCCAGACTGGCCTCGCACTTGGGATCCTCCTGCCTTAGCCTCCCAAGTGTTGGATTTACAGGCTTGTGCCACCACCCCCAGACTACACTGCACTTTCTTTACACAAGGACCTCACATCTTAAATTCACAACAGCCATTTACAACACCTACCAAATTAGGTTGGAGTTCTGAATGGCTTTAAGAAGCACCTACAAAGCAAGCCTTTCACACATATTTACTTCACTGAAATTGACAGCCCATTCCTCTCACCTACATTTGTTGCTGTATCCCAGCAGTCAGGCTCTTGCAGAGCACTGAAAATGACCCCATCCTCAAAAAGGAGCTCACAAATTGTGAAAGGTGAAACAGAGAAAGTGCACCTGAGCTGAAAGATATTCGCAGGAGGAATGGAAAGGAAGGAGACCTGGGAAGCCTGGAATGATGTTGCCACAGTAAACTCCTAGAAAGCTCTAACAGAAAATATGGGACAGGGAATGTGAACAGATTGAAACTGTCTCGAATGCTGGCGGGCACTCCTGATACCCCGAGAGTCATGTGCGTCACCGGAATGGCAAGCAAAATAAAGACGTGTCAGCCGCACCGCCACAGCCCGGACGCGGGGTGCGAAGGAGTCAAGGATACTGCCTCTTGCAGAAAAATGAAGGGAGCTTGGCCAGGGCGAAGGTTAACTCTTCCTTTCTCCGTGGCCTTCCGAAAAGGACTACTTAAGTTCTGAACAATTTTATTTTTATTTTTAGGATACCAGGAATCGAACTCAGGACCTCACACTTGCCAGGCAGGTGCTGCATCACTGAGTTAAATCCCCGCCCCCTGAACATTTTTTAAAAATTAATTTGTAAGGTGTAGATATACGCACAGCTATATAAAAACAAAAACAAAAAAACCCCAAAAGATGCCATATCCATTTAACCAAATTCCTCCCTCTTGCAAAGCTATCAGAACAGGTAGTCATCTACTCAGGACACACAGTTCCATCCTTTGCAGGCCCCTTTAGGGCCACAACCACCCCGGACTTTTAACGCGTCACAGGATTTATCCAGTGGCTAAAATTAGAAAAAAAGGGCTGGGGATTTAGCTCAGGGGCATAGCACCTGCCTAGCAAGCGGGAGGTCGTGAGTTCGATTCCAGGTACCGGAAAAAAAAAAAAAAAAAAAAAAGTAAAATTCGAAAAAAGAAAAGGTTCAGAACGACTACACCTTCCATTCCGCAGAAAAGCAGGGCAGAAACGGGAAACCGTAGGCCCCACCCCTTCCGCTTCGGACGGCCAACCGCCACCCGAGAGTCGAAGCACTTCCGCCCGAGGCAGACGAAACAGGAAGTGCTGGTTAAGTCCAGCCCTTCGCCACCACTCTCTCCAAAATGGCGGGCCTCCACCGCCAGCTGCAGGACTACCTTGCGCAGGGGAAAGCAGGCAGGCCGACGGACGCGGAGCCGCTGCTGGCGGCGGAGACAGCAGAGGAGCCCGCGGGAAGGAGCGGACCGGCGGGGGCATGGCTGGGCCGCACAGGCCTGCCGTGGACCTGGACGCGGAGCCCCGCAGAGCCAGCAGCACCTGGCCCAGCCTGTGTACCGAACGTGACGCGCGGGCAGCAGCTGGCGGCTGGCGGCGGGTGTTTGCTGCTAGCCGCGCTCTGTTTTGGCCTGGCCGTGCTCTACGCGCCTGTGCTGCTGCTCCGCGCTCGCAAGTTCGCGCTGCTGTGGTCGCTGGGCTCGGCGCTGGCGCTGGCAGGTGGCGCGCTGCTGAGGGGCGGTGCGCCGTGCGGACGCCTGTTGCGCTGCGAAGAGACGCCGTCGCGGCCCTCGCTCTTCTACCTGGCCGCGCTGGGCGCCACGCTGTACGCGGCGCTGGCCCTGCGCAGCACGGCCCTCACTGTGCTGGGCGCATGCGCGCAGGTGGCCGCGCTGCTCGCCTTGCTCGTGGGCCTGCTGCCCTGGGGCGGCCCCACCGCCCTGCGCCTCGCTCTCGGCCGAGTGCGCCGCGCCACCGGCCTCACCGACGCGCTCCCAGTGTGAGCCTCGGACCCCTCGCTCTCGGCGACACACCCCGGGGCCACCTCTGGACTGTGCCCGCGAACCGCTTTGAGTAGCTGTTACAAATTGAGACGCCAGCCCTTCAGGAGCTCGATTCCAGCGCTGCGTGCAGTACCCGCGAAGCGTGTGCTCACAAAGGACCGAATGCACTGGTTGTATTGGTGACACTGTCGCAGAAACGGCTATTAGAAATCGCTTAAGCACCGACTGTGGTTTTAGATTGAGCTGAGTAAAAAGGAATGGCTCGTCTTTGAATTAGCTGCTTTTGTGATTTTCCTCAGGTTTTTTGTTATTTTTTTTAAAATCCAATGGTAGATGTAGCAAAGCTATAATAGCATATTGGGTTTGGCTATTAAGACTTGGGAATTATTTTCTCTTACTCTACAGTGTAAATGAATCTAGAAGAAAGTCAAATTAAACACTAATTTAGGTACTGGAATTTAAAAACAGACGGTTTACATCTTTTTTTCTTCAGTTAGCAAAATATGGTGCCTTATATGGAAAATTAGTTCTGTATTAGACAAGGGAAGTAATGGAACGAAAGAAATATTCTGCCTCAGGAAGCAAGGGGTCCAGTAAGACGTATATAAATGCCTGGAGAGGACGCTGCAGAACTTGGGTAGGGGTACTATGTCCAGAATTCCCGTACTTGATGGAAATGATGAATCTCTGCAGGCTCTCATCATTCCTAATACCGATATCTGCTTCTATGCGCATAGTTCGATCCTAATGTGGTGTATTCTTTTTATATATAATTGTATTTCCTTCATTTTTGGCTCAGTACTTTTAGCAACCTTAATTTATTGCCAAAAGATGTAAGTGCAGTATTCTGATGAGTCCAGAAAAACTCTATGTCTCCTCAGTAGCTAATACTAGAAAGTAAAGTGTATTTAGAATTTAAGATTCTTTGCCAGTAGTTCTCATACTAGAGAACAGAATTACTTGAAGAGCCACACCTCAGATCGTTTCATTTAGGATCTCTGGGGGCGTGGAACCAGGCTTCGCTGTTTGTCCAGCTCCTCAGAAGATTCCATGTTCAGCCAAGGTTGAGAACCACTTCGACAGTGGCTTGCACACTGGAATGTAATTATTTTCCCTAGCGGAATTCCAGTGTTGCCTTAACAGGCAAGCAAAAGAGTACTGCTTCTTCCTCTGGCCCAAAGTGCAGGCACGTTCCCAAGTCCTGTTCAGTTCTGAAGCCCTGCCCTAGGATGAGGATGTGGATGTGGGTGTGACACCGAGGTTGTAAACATCCACACTGTAGGCTGGCAGGCTCCATCACTATGTGGGTCACCTACCTCAGGAGGGTAAACGCCTAGCTTTCCGGGAGGGATTAATGTGTCATTCATTGGCTGCTCATTCAAGTCCCCTAGTCGAATTTCCGCTGTAGTTCTAAATTTCTCCAGAATTTAAATGGCTACAGATTTTTAAATGTTCAGCATATTTTTATGTTGAGGCTATTCTATTTCTCAAGATTTCAAAAATTCAGTTTCCTAAATTTTCTCAACTCATTGTTTGAAAATCTAGTTTTTATAGGTTGTAAAAAATAGTTTTTATAAAATTCAAAGCACATCATCTTGTATTTTGTTAGTGATGTTTTTAAATGCCATATATATACAAAGTATTTAACATACAGATTTCTATTTTCTGTAAATGAATTCTCAAAATGTGATCTGATTATCTGCTTTTTGAGGTACTGTTAAAAGTCTAAAATGTTAATAAAAATTTTTCACATAAATGAAAGTAATAGCTCTAAGAGTTTCTTCTCTGTCTCCCTTTTTAGCTTCTTGGAATTTGACTGTAATTTCTCTTATACTAGTGGAGGACAAGGAAAGAATATCCACAAATCTAAAGCAGTCTTGATCCTAATAGGTTTTATGATAGGGTGCTGGTAGATGGCTTTTAAATTTCAAAGTAAAATGTAACTTCTTTAATTGGAATCTTTATGTTCTAACAAAACCAGTGTGGGTGGTTGAAAGTTTCTCACTCCACAAAACTAACTTAGCTTTTTATCATTTTTCTCAGTGACACCAGTTAAGAAGTTTCTGTATACTAGCCAGCCATGCCAATATCCCTTCTCCAAGCAACCACTGAGACTTCAGCACCATTAAATTTGCCAAATAAGCCTGCTCCGGTGCCAAACAGAACCTGGTGTTGTAATGAAATGCTTGGTGGCCTCAGCACTGCCCTTTTAATAATAAAAGCTTTCTTGTAAAAATAAAATAAGGGTCAGGCTAGAAAGGGATATCTCACAAGTTTTTGTCAGTCCAGATTGAACCAAATGTTACGTTTACCTAGGGAATTTGCCATGAAAAACAGCTTTCTGGGTTATTAAATTACAACTATCCCCTTTTAAACTGGTATTTCCACAAAGCTCGTATGAGATTATGTTTTGCAAAACTGAAATGTTTTGGTCCATTCCTTTTCAACCTGCTGTGTGAAATGATTTAGTTATCAAAAGGAGATGTGTAGTTCAGACTTACATCAACTTCCCCTCCTTACTGAAACAAGACTAGATGTCTCTAAGAGAGCCCGTAGTTTCTCTCCAGAGTGTAATTCTGCCGACTGTCAGGGCACATCTGAAGCTTTGAGACTATTTTAAAGTCCATTACAATAGTTTTGAAGTATTTCTCACTCTAACAAATAGTGTGACTGAATGGCTTGGGGAATCTTGTTGAAAGTTATATTAGCGGACATGATTTAGTGGTTCCCATTCAGTCTTCTCATAAGCATCAGCAACACCTGCACACACCTTCAGCAGATCAGATGCAATGGCAAACGAGGGTTTTCTTAAGGCAAGCATTTCACGACTAGATGGTTTCTGTTAATTCTTGCGTAAATCACATTCTGTATTCATACAAAAACAACTTAATGTTTTTTCTCTGACAAACTGTACATATAGAAACAAATTTCCAATTGGACATGAATTTAAGGAGGCGCTCCATGTCTCATGACACTTAAAAAAAGATTCCAGCTTGTATCTTCACAAAACAACATGGGAGTTATGCAAGGAGGGTGGACAGGACACAAAAGGAGGTCAGCTACTCAGGGTAGCCAGTGGCAGTCTCTTCATCGCGAAGACACCCTCAGGGGCTCTGGGAGCACAGCTGTCCCAGAGTTTAGAGCTACAGTGGTGCACACTTCCTTGTGTTTGCTTGGAAAGTCCACAAGAAGTTCTAAATACTGTCCAGAGGGGCGAAAAGGTACTCACCCCACTTCTACCGACCCCGTCCACCACCCCTTGAAGTGCCTCGCCTTGGCGGACCAGAGTTCATGTTACTCCCTCTACCCCAGTTACTGCCACTCCGGCCCCCTCGAGAAGCGGTGCCACTGCCCGGAGGGCCCCCAAAAGGTTCATCTCTGTGGTATCCATCGTGGTGTTCTCCGTCTAAGGAGCTGGAACGCCCAGATTTTGGCACTCTCTGGGATGGTCCTGGGCCCCCTCGGCCTGAAATAAAACACAGATTTCACAACACTTGTATCAGCTTGTCAATAATTCCTGGCCTAAACTTCCACTCCCTGGTGAAGTGGATCACTTTTGGGAGATCCTAAGGAGATCAGCAATGGCATTTTGAGCACTACCAGGTGTACCTCTGCCCCTAGCTCACATCCTCTCATTGCCATCCTGACCTGCAGTCCTGAGCATCAACTAGACCACATTCCCCAGGGCTGTGCGACAGATAACAGAAAGCCAAGAGAGAAGCACAGAGCACTCTGGGGAAAAGGAGCATGCTGGGCCACACCCCACACTATGTAAAGTATCCTTTTCACTCTCCTGTGCCACCACGGGAGGTTGAGGGGATGTTTCAAAAGCACTGACCTGAAAGCAGCCAGGAAATACAAACTACTGCTGATGTGAAGGACAAGCACTCTAGTAGGACTGATATTTACTCTGATTATTCTACAGTGTGCCCTTTGGCTTCCTTTTACATAGTTTAGTGAAATAGTTTCTGAAAAACAAAACCTGGCTTTCAGAATTACTTCTCCCAGGCATGGCTTGTTTCAGAATTGGGCAAATGTTTAGATATTAGTAAAATTCTACCTTTTAAAAACTTTTGACAGGACTTGGCCACATCTCCCATAATGTGCTCTCAGAACAACATGTCATCTTTAATTTGTCTTAGATTTTTTGAGTGGAAGTTGGATCTAGGTTAAAGGAGGCTGGGAAATGAGCCAAACACCTTGGCTTCTTTTCTTACAAAGCAGCTTGTGCTGGACTGAGGCTGCCTGGGCAGTCGGGTCCACACTAGCATGTCTGTTCATACGGCCCACATATCTGTGATTTGGGACACAACAGGTGTCCCAAATGCCAAGGAAGTCATACAAGATCACAGCATACCGACAAGTACACTTGGGTGGGGGAGATCTACTGGGGATTCATGAGTAGTTCCTGAGTTTTGCTCTGAGAAGCACCAAAAACCAGCAATGGGCAAGAGAGGGACTGCAAACACAGGGCTAGTGAACGCGGGAGCAGAGTGCAAGTTGAGACACACAGCAGATGCCTTTCCAGGAGTCCTAAGGCTACCGCATGCCACTACCCAGCCAACATAAGGCCAGACTTAAAAGTGCACATTCAGTGGCTGCCATACCTACTAGCTAGGAGTCAGTGCTACCTTTAATAAAATAAAGATCGAGAGTTTCAAGTTGCAGAGATGATCTACTATCTCCCCAGGAAATGCCCCTGGCAGATCACATTCCCCAAAGACTTGTGACTTTGGGCAAAACAATGTTCCTTCAGCCCAGAATGAAAAAAGCAACACTGGGTGAGGACAGTGCTTCTCCTCCACTGACAACACCCTCAAGGGCTCTAGGTGGCCTTCAGTGGAGGCCACAACTGCCAATCAGACCAGGATCTCTGCAGAGCAAGCCTGGCAGAGGGCTGTAGTCCCTTCGCAAAAAGATGGAGTGGGAACCCTGAGATTCCTGAAGTGGCTGGGGACTGTGGGACTGAGCTTGCAGTCACTGGGTGTTAGCTCTGCCCGGCTGGGGTGTGGACCCAAACAAAGCACATTCACACACACTCAGGAGCATGTAGCTCTACATAGCCCACACCCTGGAGGGCGGAACATGCAATAGACACTGGCAGGGCTTCCCACAGCTCCTATACCCCCAGAGCCCAGTGGCCTGCTCATACCTTTACCTCCTCGCTCCTCAGCAGGGCCCCCAGGGGCCTCCATCTCCCTGTGCTCAGAAGTGCCTGGCCCATCATGCCAGGGGCGCTTTCGGGGTGGCAGAGATGCCATGTCCATGCCCTGAAGGGAAGAAGAGCGCTCTCTGCTGGCTGGGGAATGACCATCATGAGGGGGATGATCGGGGCGAGGAGCATCTCGGAAATGTTCATGACCTGGCCCTGAAAGAAGAAACAGGATCCATGAGGCTAAGCATCTGAGAATGTCAGTACTGCAAAGTACAATGCGACCAAAAGCAGATAGAAATCATGCCATTAAGATAGAGCAATCTGAGGACCTCCATGCATTCAAGCAGAAAACATCTGCTCAATAGGCCAGTTATACTGTGGAGGCTAAAGAAAGGCCAAGGTTAGAAATCAATGTACCTCCTAGAGTAAGAGGACACAGGTTTAGTCCAGTGAACAAGTTCTCAGATGCCCTTAAACTCTTAAAAATTATTGAGGACCCCAAAGAGATCCCATTAATGAAATTTACATCTACTATTATTTATGGTATTAGCAATTTAGACAAATAATTTTAATTAATTTGTTTTCTAAAAATAAGACAATTCAGTAAAAAGAATATATTATCTTCCTTAGAAAAAATCCCTTTCCTGTCTGAGTTAAGAGAAAAAAGATTCTGCATTTCATCAGCTGGGATCAGACGTTGTGGTAAAAGGACAGAAAGACAACCCGGCCTCTGGAAAAACAAGTTGGAAAAGACTGGGCCTCTGGGGTCTTGGGGCTCCACCTGGTGAATGCTGGCCTACTGTCCCCTTCCCCACACAAGTGCTTCTCCTTCCTTACCGGGCTCTCGGTTTCCATCCCAGGAGTCTGGCTTCCGCCCTCCTTCGAAGCGAGGGAACTCATCAGGAGTGGGAAGTAAACCCTTCCTTCCTCCTACACAGCAGAGTGAACAACACTGACTCACAGACTGCTCGGCTGTACTCACAGCCAACAGCCCCTCCAGACCAGGAACCCTTGGCACTGCTCACCTCTTGGAGTGCCACGACCTCGACCTCTGAGATCTCGACCTCGGGCTGCTTCGTCAGAAGCATCAAAACTCTCCTCTGGGCCAAAGTCTTCAGGACCAGGAAAGCCATCCCTTCCTCTGGGGGGAGCACGGCCCTCGTGCCTTGGGGGGGCTCCTCTTCGGAAGCTATAAAAGAAAAAAAAAATCAATGTCTACTTCCTGGGATACCTGCATCTCTCAGTGTCAAGAAAACATGACAGGAGAAGCTAGGATACAATGTCCCGGGTGAGTAAAGCAAAACACAAAGCTATGTATTTTGAAAGTATCCATTTCACAGTCTTAATATCAGAGGCCAAAACAGGCAGGAAGGAAACATACAGGAAAGTAAAGTTACTTTAAGCTGCTTTTCAGCTTTTAGGAATAATAATAGCAGCGAACACTTTTTAAGTGCTTAATATCATGTTCTCCGTGTATTATTTGTTTCATTTCCTCCTTACCACTACATTATTAACTCCATTCCAATGAGGCCCAGAGAGCTGAATTCACCTGTTTAGGGACACACAGGAAGGATGGCTTGTCCTTTGAACTTGGGCTCAATGTTCAACCCAGGCTCTTTATCACTGCTTTCCAATACTTTAATTATCATCTACATTTTCACAATGACCTTTATTGCTTATATGCTCAGGAAAAAGGAGGTACAGACCATGCACTGGCCTTGTTTTTGGGTATGTGCTCCACACTTGCCCTGCCCTGCCCACAGCCTCCTCGTCGGGTAGACCTACAACAGCCATGAAGCACACCTCCATGCCCTTCTCCTTAGCCCCTGGCATGCAGGTCACCTGGCTTGCAGCAGCCCACTCACTGCCTGTCTGGCAACCTGGTTTCCTGGCTAGAGACCACATCCCTTCCTCATATATTTGGGAACAGGAAGGCTCAGTTGGCTGGGAGTATTGCTGAAGTGGAGAGGTACCAAGAAAGCCTGTGGGGAAGCAGAGGAAATGACTGCAAGCAGAAAAGGGCGTGAACACACACAGATCAGGCCACCACAGACTGCCCTCATGTGTGGCCTCTTTTGGCCAGGTCTCTACCCTTCCCTGTGCTTCCATACCTTTCACTCCAACCTTTTACTATAGTTTTCACGCCTGCAGATAAGGTTGGAAGAACAGCACCATGAACACCCACAGACCCTCCCCTCCATTCACCACATGTGCTTTATCGTTTCTTTATTCATCTACTTAAGAATCATTTTTTGTTTGTTTGTTTTTTTCCGGTACGGGGAATTGAACTCATGATCTCACACTTGCCAGGCAGGCGCTGTGCCGCTGAGCTAAATCCCTAGCCCCTCATTTTCTAAACTATCTAAAGATCACAAACATGATGCCTCACCATAGAATACTTCAGTATGTTCCTGCTAAGACCAAAGACCTTCTCTTATATAACCATGATATCATTCTCAGTGACATATAATGTTTAATATGCAGGACAACTGTAATTTCCCCAAACATCCTCTAGAATGGGCTGGGTTTTGAGTTTTTTGTTGTTGTTGTTGTGGGCTACTTTGGTTGGTTGGTTGAGACGGTATCGTTATGTGGTTGAGGCTGGCCTTGAGCTCACTATGTAGCCCAGACTGGCCTCGAGCTCGCAGTGATCCTCCTGCTTCAGTCTCCCAAGTACTAGGGTTATAGGTGTGCGCCACCATGCCTGGCAGTTGTTTTTCAATTGAATTCATGACTATACATTGTTACCAAGCAGCTGTGTCTCTTTATAGTCTCCTTTAATCAGGAACAGTCCCCCCACAAACATCTGCCTGGCAAGCACAAGGTCCTGAGTTCAATTCCTAGTGCCAAAAAAAAAAGAACAGTCCCCCTTCTCCTGCACAGTGTTTTGTCTTTTATGATCTGGATAGGAAAGGAATATCCAGATGTTTTATAGGCTATCTCATAGTTCAAATGTATCTGATTGTTCCCAGAGTAAGCATTTTTGGCAAGGACTGCCTATTCCTCAGGATGCCAGTTTGTGTCCCTATCAATGAGGCAAAGGTTCATCTCCTCCTTTGCAGCTGAGAAGCAATCTGTGGATGACCCTGCCTCCCCACAGTCCTTTCCTCAAAGGTCTCAACACACGTGCTTGCTTCGGCAGCACATACACTAAAATTTGAATGATACAGAGAAGATTAGCATGGCCCCTGTGCAAGAATAACTCCCAAGTTCATGAAACATTCCATATTTTTTGTTTTTGTGTTGTTTTATTTTTATCTTTGTTGTTGTTATTTTGTTACTTTTTTTTTCTCTTTAAAATTAAAAAAAAAAAAAAATGGAGGAAAAAAAGGTCTCAACACACACTGCTGACCCTGGCCTACATCAGCTGTGACACTAACAGCTCACCAAGGTGGTCTAATTCCTCCATGCCTCCCACTGCTGTCATGAGGCACTCTTCTGCGAAAGAAATTCCAGGGCCTTCCTTGTACATTCTAGGTAAATGTTCTACCACTGCACTACATTCCCAGCCCCCTTTTAAATTTTAAGATCTCTCTAAGTTGCGTAGGTCGGCCCCAAATTTGAGATCCTCCTGCCTCGGCCTTCTGAATGTCTGGCATTACAGACATAAGCCTCTGTGCCTAGTGTTAGGTCTATTTTTAATAATCTTCCTGGTCCTGAGGTGACTTGGTTGAATCATGCTTCCTGTGAACAAGGTGAGTATGCTCAGGACACTAGCTAAATTAATGAGGAAAAGCCAGGGTGGAAATGGCCCAGAGGAGGAGGTAGCGGGGCAGGATGAACTCAGCAGGAAGTACTGTTTGTTTCCCGGAAAGACAGCAGGACTCCTCTTTGTTCAAGCACTGTCCTAGGTACAAAGGGATGCAGAGAATCTCATTTCTCTCATTAGAAAATACCTTTTGTTATGAACTGTTTGTGCTCCCCCATCCTTCATACTGAAGTTCCAATCCCGACTGTGATGGTATTTGGAGATGGGGCCTTGGAGGCAGTTAGGGCTGTATGAAGAAGTGAAGGAAGGCTCAGATGATAGGATTAGGACCCTTATAAGAAGCACAGGAGAGCATCCTCCCACCTCACAGTGAAGGCACAGAGAAAAAGCTGCAAGCCAGGGAGAGGGTCCTCCCTGCTGGCCTCAATCTAGGACTTCCAGGCTCCATCTATGGTCCTATCATATAGTAGCCTAAGCAGACTAATGATATGCCTTCTAAGAGACTGATCCCTCTCCAATTCTTCCCCCACTGAACAGGTCCTTTCTCACTGAAAGGGTCCTTTCTCAGGTCCCCCACTGAACAGTTACTGAGTATCTACAAAGTACTGCTGCTAGTGCTCTAGATCTGAGGAGACAACCAGGAGTTGGCATGCCCCCCACTGAAACAGGCAATAAAGAAATAAACACACCTTGCCCTCTGTATCCATAGCTGCAGAGTTAACCAATCATGAATGGAAAACAACTTTTTTTAATTGTGTCTGTACTGAACATGCAGACTTTTTTGTCATTAGGTATGGTAAGTCATCCAGAGATGACTGAAGTTGATGGCAGAAAGTCATAGGTTTTTATAGGGGACTTGGGCAGATATGGTCTGTGTGGAGATCCTGAAACGCCTCTCAAATACCAACGGTCAAACACACATTACTATAATGTCAAGCAAGGCTCAGTGCTATGAAGATACACACTGCCAGGCAAGAGGACAGCTCTGATCAGAGTGAGCCACAGCAAGCTGGGAATATTCCTGGCTGGGGAAGAATAAGCACTAAGACTGGGAAACAGGAGTGTGCACGGCGCCACTCAAGAACAGCATGGTGGTGACAGCACAGGTTTAGGTTGTGGCATATCACTGATATAAACTAAAACACAACAAAGAGTGAAATTCTGCACAAGATGCAGAGATTCAACATATCCATGGAAGGTAAGCAGATGCCAGGTTCTTGTGCTGTTTCAAAGACAGTGTTTGGCTGTCATTATGACCGGCCCTTAAGAAAACAGGGAACTTTTTCTTTAAAAAAAAAGGAGTCTTTTCTTTAAATCTCCCATGCCAGTTGATCTTGCTTATTAACTAAAATGGATTAAGAGACCCACTGGAGGGATGACTAGATTGTGACAGCACCAACCCCATCAGCAGACTATACCAATTAATGAGTTCATACCCAAATGGGCTATGAGGAGGTGTGGGCCTAGTTGAAGGAAGTGGGTCACAGGGATGTGGCCTTGGGGACTAGACCTCATCCTTGGCCCCTTCCTCATATCACAGGCTCTTTCCAACCTGCTCTATTTCCTGACTACCATGAATTGAGCAGTATTCCTCCACCACGCCCTTCGCTCATGATGCTTCTGCTTTGGAACCACGTGGCTAAACCTCAGAAACCATGAGCCACAATAAACTGCTCCTCCCTTAAATTGTTGAGGTCACACATTTCATCCCAGCAACAAGAAAGGTGACTGGTATATCCCCCAACAGCCTCTTAATTCTTGCTATTTTACCCTCCCTGGCTACAATATCAGCCATTTTTTTCTAATAGATGCCTCAAGGGTGTGGATGGCAAATCCTGTACCCCTGGACTACACCACCTACTAGCAACTGTAGTAAGAAATGGGATGAGAAGACAAGAGAACAAATGCCTGAGGGGCAGGCCACTAAAAGCTGGACGCAGGGCCCTCACTCTTGAGACTAATAGCAATTCTCAGAAAGTCAAGACGCAGCTGAGTGTCTCATCTCTATTCAGAGGACACTGACAACTAACAACTAGCTCACAGATTTCTTGTACCAATCAAATGATGTGACAGCATTTGGCACAGATTAAGTTATTATTGTTAATTACTAAGTCTCACTCAAGATTACGGGTGTGGTGTGCTGCACACCTGCAATCCCAGCCCTCAGGAGGCTGAGACTAGAGTTGTTCACGGCCAGCCTGAGCTACATAGTAAGACCCTATCACAAAACAAAACAAAAAATTATACCACTTTCTGGTTTTTCTCTATATATCTTCTATTCCTTTTATGCTCCCAAGCAAAGTAAAAGTTTAAGCTTGATCTAAAATTTAACAAGATTTCCAGTTCAATTTGATTTTATTAACTTCTTAGGTAATTACACACAAATTGTGTCCATTTTACAACCCTTTTATTTCTAATTTAGATATCTTGCTCTTACTTCACCATTTAATCAAGGTGAACCTGGAAATTTCTAATCAGATCCAAGACATCCTCATCACGAACCAAAAAACAAACAAAAAAGATTTCCAAATTGCAAAAATTTAAAAGACAGATCAAGTGTAGCTTTGTTTTAAAAAAATATTTACATTCTCCAGAGGACAGGACTGGTAATCCATGCAAGACTTCTCCCCGGACACCCCTCAGCAAAATAAGAAAGAGGCCTTTAAGAAGAGCACAAACAGAAAGCCCCAGGGAAGGCACAGTGGAGCCACACAGTGCATATCCCACCTTTCTTCTCTACGCCCTCGGAAACGTGGGTCCTCAGGATCCCGGGGAAATCGTTCATCTCCTGGTCTGCGGCCTTCCCATGCCCCTGGAGGGCCTCGGGCTGCACCCCGACCATCCCCCTCACTGAATTCCCTGTGGTCAGGAGGAAATGGAGGTCCGGGGCCCCCTCGCCTCCACTTCTCTTCCTGTGGCAAAGGTCCTCCTCGTCCTTCAAATTCACGTAATCGGTGGCCAAAGCGCTTGTCGGGGTGGAAGTCCTCTGGTCTGTTGAAGTCATCAGGAAAGTCTGGATGAGGGCCCCGCCTGTCGGGGGGACCCCTGCAGTCCTGGCCACCCCGGAAAGGGCCTCTCTCAGGCCCGTGCTCAGGGCCACCACTCTGCTCATGTCGCCTCTCTGACATCGGACCCAGGTGATGGTTGGGAGGGCCTCGGGAGTCACCTAAAGGAAACAAAGTTGACTGTTACCATGGCTTTCAAGAGGCAGAAGTGTAGGTCTCTGCTGCATCTGTGTGTTTCAGAACACACTGTTCCTTAGAATGCTTTCCCTCCTGGCTTCTCAGCACACTTACAAAGCAGAGTCCCTGGAGCATCATATTATGAGAAGACCAGGGCTCTGTGTGTGGGTTTCATCCTCCTTACTCACTAACTAACCTGATCTCTAACAAATTTCTAAGTAACTTGGCCCCCAGAGAAACTACTGATGCCAAAGGAAGTCAGCAGTGTCAGCAGTTCCTCATATATTCTAGAAAACACCTGCACCAGATTCCTGATGTAAGAATGGGCCTCCTTTCCCTGTGGCTGTTCTCTTATGACTTCATTAGGGCCATGAGTTTCCCAAGCAGGGAAGCACCACTTGTGGGAGAGGAAGTGGCACGCTAGGAATTCACTGCTGGCCTCGAGAAGGCCGTGGAGTCCACACAAGGTGCCAGGTCTACATTGCACCACCCGTGCTGCTGCTCCTTTCACCCATGGCTTGCTTAATTTCATCCCTTCACTCCCATGAAGGATAACACACTCTTCTGTAAGGCTCAAGGAACCAGGGGCCCTCTAATAACTGTCTCGTGTTTAGTTTCTGGGTTTGTACAACACCTTTTCTGCTCCTTTAAAGGAATGGGTCTCATATTATCACCTTCCTTTGCAGGCTGCATTGGAATTCCATTAAAAATTTTTCAGATTATTTGAATATATGTTATACACTCAAAGTACTCGGACTAAGGTTATAGCTTAGTGGGAAAGCTTGTGTAGCATAAACCAGGCCCTGTGTTTCATCCCCAGAACTGCAAAAGAAAAGAGTATGGGGGACTGAATAAAAGTGAGAAAAGGCCAGTGAAATCTGCGCTGGTTAACAGCATCTAACCCTGCACTCTGAAGGGATTGTTTTCCCCAGCTACCGAGCTAGCTACTGTGGCACTATAAATATATACCTATCTTCTGCCAACATAAAATTTAACTCGAACATTTTTAAAAGGGAGTTGGCCAAAGAACATTCTTGTTTCCAAATCAACCAACTTTTTAAATGAAATCCTTCCTCTTATCTAGCTCATGCCTTTCATGGGTATTCCTGGCAGTCTGACAACCCTTCCATGTATCGTGGTCAGCCATAACTCTTACCTTTCCAACATCTCTCCTCCCTTTCATGTCTGTTTGTGTCTCTTGGCTATTTTAACTCCTCCTCACCATTTGATATGGAGAGAGGCTTAGAAAGCTTAGTACAGAAATATACCATTACACAGAATCTCTTCTCTTGAATTTGTTGATCTCTGCTTCCTCACTTGCCCTTGCTGTAAAGAAAGCCCTTTCTACATTGCTCTCTGCTTACCCATTTGGCAAACAAATATGCTGGATCTATCTCCTCCTAGCAGGAAGATCACTCAATTCTCCATGTGTTCCTGAAGCCAAGGATTCTCATTTCCTGCTTCCTGAGCCTAATGAAACCCCAGACACAGGTGACCTTGGACCTCAGGAATCTGCACATGTCCCATTTGGACTTACCCATGAATATTACTCCTCCCATTACCTCTGCCCCTGGAGGGCCTCGGGCTGCACCCCGACCATCCCCCTCACTGAATCTGTTTAAAAGTACCCTGCTCTTCCAAGGATAGAAACCCACCACTACAAATTGGGAGCAATGTGGCCCCCGGTGATGGGGCGGCGGCGGCGGGTAATCCAGTAGGGGATTGCAGGGCCACTTTCTCAGCTCTCCCTTCTCCCTTTGGTCCCTGGGAGGAGAAAGAGAGGAGGAAGAGAGAGAGAGAGAAAAGGGGAAAAGCAAGGAGGAGAGGGTAACAGGTGGAGACAGACACAGGGTAGGAGAGGAAGAGAGTGGCTCTCAGTTTGTTGATGACAGTACTTTGTGGGTCAAAGACTCTTTCTCCCTTATGGTCCCCAAAGCTCAGAGAAGATCCCTGGTGCTCTCTCTGGGTCCTTGGAGGCAACTGCCTTTCTTTCTGTGCATCCTCTGCCATCACTTCCATGCAACAGGACAGTAAGAAATGTTCTCTATTTCCTTGACTTTGCCCTTTTCCTACTATTATCTCACATCAACTAAAAAAGCTTAAAATTTCCGAAGTCCCAGGGCTATAAATGATGCCAAGGACTTTTCTTTTTTTTTTTTTTTTTTGAGGCACGGTCTCACTATGTAGTGCAGGCTGACCTTGAACTCGCTTACATAGCCCAGGCTAGCCCTGAACTCATGGCTATCCTTCTGCTTCAGCCTCCTGAGTACTAGGATTACAGGTATGGACAAGGACTTCAGATAAAATGAGGGAAGGGACCTAATGTGTACCACACAGTGCTATGGGCTTAGCCATTCAAAAATGAATGTACAGTTCTGTGCAATACAATCTCCACAGTCCACATGAGCTGATTTGTGACTTCTCTCTAGGAAACAGTGTGTTGACGGAAATACTCCTTCTCCTGTGAGAAGTTCATTCACACTCAGCATCCTCTCTAACTCCGGGTCCAGTAGCATGCCGCTCCCACATTCCTGCTCCGACTCTGCACACAGTATGCCAGGGCTCAACACTTCAGCCCAACCAAGGTCTCCGGTGCTCGGCTTGGCTCCCTTTTGACTCTTAGGATTAATTCTTTGACTACCAAATGCTGACAATTCTCATCTCCTCACTTTTCATAGTATCAATATGATGCACCACATGTCAGTACACCCTTTTCAAATGGTGCAGAACAATTTAAGCCCCTAAAGAACAATGTAAGGCCAGCAGTGACACAATTTGAGGCGACAAGGGAGTAAAAACAAAAATAGCTGAAATCCTGATTCTTTTACCCTGTCAAAAAAAATGCAAGCAATAACAGTCCCACTGTTGCAAATGTCTCCCCTGAGCACAGAACCACCTTCACTTCCAGCAGGAACAATAAGGTAGCTGGCAAACAGTAGCCAGGCCTGTCCAGGTGGCATCAGTGCCAGTATCAAATGGGGGAGGACCTCATGTCCCTGGCCAGCCTAACTAAACATATCCCCCAAAACAGCGCAGCACAAAGCTAGTACCTGCCTGAATGTGCCCTCATTTACGCAGCAGTTCCCTAGACAGTATCAGCAAAACTATCTATTGACTGTAAAATGCACCAAACAGTGGCACAATCTGCGCTCTCATTCAGCAGAGCAGATACTTACCTTTGTTGGGGCCAGGTCCTTGTCCGGGGTTTAGAGGGGGGATTCGGCCTTGTGCTCCCTGCTGCCCTAGGCCTGGAATCAGGGGTGGGGGGCCTGCACTCTGTCCTTCCTGAAAAAGACATATTCAAAAAGTGGTATGAAATCACAGCTTGTGTTTCATAGATAACATTATAATGTGACAAGATAAAAATATCAGGTTGTTCTAAAGCGTCCAGCACTAAATACTGACATTATAACAAAACTGTCCCTAACATGGAGAAAAGGAGAAACTTCTCTTGCCAGAGTAAAAGGAAGCCCTTGTATTTTAAACCTGCTAACAGGTTTTACTTAAAGCCAGATCTTTTCTTATAATGCCAAGCAAGAACTTCTAGAAGAGTAAAGACCTGGCAATCAGTCGGGACAGGCAAGCTCTACCACCAGAGCCATGACTCCTCCCATGACAGGAAGTAGATGGTCCTCTCAAAGAAACACTAGGACTGGCTTTCCTATCTTGGGAGTGAGTGCATGTAATGATAAGAAAGCAGCTGCCACTGGCTTCCCCTTCACTTCCCTCTGATCTCTGTCCTCCAAGAGTCCCCTTCCTAAGCACCCTGCTGCTCATGCCCGCTATGTTACCCCACCCACCAGTCTGGACTCACTCAGTTCCTGCAGCTTCAGTCTGATGCAAACCTGCTGCTATGCTCCTCATAATCTCTGTACTCAGGACTGCAGCGCTCAACTCCACTTCTTCCCTGGTCCCATCTGTGTTTTTTTCTAGCTAAGTCTAAATTCTAACTTGCCACACTATCCAATGACTTTGGGTCAGGTCTCTTCACACCCAAATATATAAATAAATCTATCATTCCATTTTATGAAAAATACATTTACCACAATGACTAGATCTACTACAAGAATAGCAGTTTCAGAAATACCAATAATACAACTGGTTTCAGGTCCCAAACTAGCCACACAAAGGAAGAGTCCTCACAGGAGGTACTCCTCATGCCATCACAGCCCAATGCCAGTAATTTCCTTACTGGCCCCTTTAAGCTCAGAATAGCCCTTATCAACAACCTTTGCATGGCTACTTACAAACATCTGAAAACAACTTCACCACATTAAACCAATGCAAACGGCTGGTTTAAATAATTGGCCTGGGAAAGATTTAAAATGTGTCATATGCATATACCAATTCATCACAATGTATGTAATCATTAGGTACTACAAACATGTACTAATAACAACTCAAAACTTAAATTAAAAATAAATGAATAAATAATTGGCCTATACAAAATGAAGTCATACTTCAGCATCTATAAAATATGAGCAAAGGTAACTCCTGAGACTAGAAATCCCTACCTACACAGTGTCCAATCTTCAGATTCATTCTACCAATTTCTACAAGTCAACTAAAAATTTAGAATCATTACATTTTTCAAGCATAAAATCTTCTACCATATGAGCCACACATGGTGGTGCACACCTGTAATCCCAGCACTCGGGAGGCTGAGGCAGGAAGATCGTTGTGAGTTCAAAACCAGCCTGGGCTACAAAGTGAGCTCAAGGCCAGCCTGAACTGCATACGGAGACCTTGTCTCAAAAAAGACAAAAACAAACAAACAAAAGATCTTCTACCATATGAACAATGAGAAATATTATTGAACTGTTGAAGAAACTGAGGCCTGGACTTTTGAACCTGACATGTTCATTCTTTCAGTCATAATGTGAGAGCTTAAATTCATTACTTTTTTTTAATCTTACTAAATGAAAATTGTTACCACCATCTGGACGAGAAAATAATGCAGCAAATAAATATTACACATACATAAGTAAAACATGTAATGCTTCACACTGTAGGGCAATTTAGGATGGCAATTCTAAATTTTACTCATGTTATCCTATATTCTGAAAAGTGCCCAATAAAAATCTGAAACTGAAACACCACTGAATTTTTCCTTGGTGGATCATTTGTAATTCCTGAAAGACTAACTGAAGAGTACTACCCAATTTACTTATTTACCTAGTTCTTTTAGTTCAGTAAACTTCTTCTGATGGTTATCTTCAGATTACAGATTCTCAGTCAAAACAGACTGTTTGCTACATACAGATTCGTAATAGCCCTTCTTCCAGATACCTGAGTGTCTTTCAGTGACAACATGGGGAACTACCCTCACTCACTTTTGGGCCACAACTCAGTCCAGGGACAAAACCCAGTTGTTCATAGCCCAAGACTGCTCTTCCAGAATAAGAACTTCAGAAATGCAATGTGGAACACAGCCAATAATGTTAAATCCCTTCATGAAATCTTTTTGTAATTCAACCTGTAACACTCCAAACTCTCCTCATACCACTTCTTAAGTTCAGTGCAGGAGTAATAAAACTAGAATCCCCAAAGCATGACCAAGGAAATGTCTACAAAAATACTCCTTCTTGCCCAGGATATAGCTCAGTGGCACAAGTACCTGCCTAGCAAGAGCAAGGTCTTGATTCCCTGTACAGGAAACAAAACAAAACAAAACAAAAAAACTCCTTCCTGCAAAAGGTTCACCATTTTGGAATGCTCTATTTTGGAATCACAAACTCTCTAAAAGCATTCACTGAAATGAAAATTGTGAGGTACACAGTCTGTAACTTGTGAGTTAAACACCCTGTCATATCATCTTTAAAAGTAAAGCTAAACAGCCAAGTCAGAGGCAGGTTGGTCACTGGCAAGGCCACTGGACACTGGGCTACAACGTCAAGGGCCCAGAAATGGGATCACAACAGCCTGAGGCACCCACAACACATCATGTCTGCTCCTCAAAGCCACTGCTCTCTTGGGGTCCTGGAGCAAACATGAACCATATTCAATTCTTTTCTGGAAGAATCTCTAAGATTAATACTGACATCTGTTAACAGTGGTAGAGCCAAATTCTTATCTCACTAATTCCTTCTTCAGCCAAGATGCTATCTTACATAACCATCACCACTCAAAAAATGCTTTTCAGTTCTCAGCATCATCACTTCAGCACACAGCATATTTTCCCAGTGAGTTAATGCCTACAAGCTGGAAATAAATAATACCTGATTGAAGGGGGCCCGAGGCCCATCACCTAGCAGAGGTGTTTTCTGTTGCTGGAATGGTATTGGCCCTTGAGATGGATGCGGCCCTCTTGCCGGGTTCTGTTGTCCCTGAGGTCCAGGAGGCCCTTGCATGCCACCCTGGGGTGGAGGTCCCAAAGATCCCTGGGGCGGCCCCTGCTGACCTTGTGAGCCTGGAGGCCCTCGTAGTTCCTGGGGAGGGCCAAGCATTGATCCTTGGGGTGGAGGCCCCTGCATGCCCCGCATCTCCTGAGGACCTCGCATTTCCTGAGGGCCATGTCCCAGCAGTCCACTTGGAGGGTGAGGTCCTCTCATTTCTTGAGGCGGGTGGCCCATCATCATCCCTTGGGGAGCAGGACCCTGATTTTCCCGGGGACCTGGAGGTCCCTGCATTCCTCTTGGATTCAATCCCATCAGAGGTCCCTGAGACACAGGACCTTGGATCCCTTGAGAGCCTGGCCCACCTTGGATCCCATGAGGATGAGGAGGTCCTTGCATTCCTCTGGGACCAGGTGGTCCCTGCATACCTTGAGTTCCAGGAGGCCCCTGTGGGCCCAAGTGGCCCTGAGGACCAGGTGGGCCTTGGGGGCCCATGTGACCCTGTGGGCCAGGCGGACCCTGAGGACCCATATGACCTTGAGGACCAGAACTACCTTGTGGTCCAGGTGGTCCTTGAGGTCCCAAAGGACCATGAGGTCCAGGATGCCTTTGCATTCCTTGGGGTCCATGCATGTCCTGAGGCCGGGGCAGCCCCTGGGGCGGGCCCTGTGGCCCTTGTGGTCCCATGAATCCTTGAGGACCCCCACCTCCCTGATGCAGTGGAGGACCTTGTGGTCCCATTTGTCCCTGAGGCCCAGGAGGTCTGAACTGTCCCTGTGGACCAGGAGGTCCCATCTGAGCCATATTCATTGGCATCTGCTGAGATGGATGGGGCTGTTGAAAACCTTGAGGAATCTGAGACATTGGACCTTGTCCTGGAAAAGGCTGAGGTCCAAGGAGAGGGGTGCCAGATGAGGAAGGAGGCTGAATCTGCTCAGCCTGTTTCTGAGCAAGTCTTTCAATTTTAAGTTGCTGCAATGAAAGAAGAAAAGTACGCTGAATAAATAAGCTGGAGCCCTCAATGATGATGATATTGCTATCACCTATTTCATCAGGGGAGCCTCGAAATAAACATACTAACTGCTCAACATCTTAATAGTCAAAATTAACTACTGTCTACTCATCATGAAAACATCCTAAGGGTGCTCCTGACCATCAAAGTGCTGCCAGACTCCCTTCAGACAGCTTCTTTTAGGAATAGGGAAAATGATAGGAAGGACTATTTACATCTTGTGTAGGGAAAACCCAATCATTACAGTATTTTATCATTCTTGGTAGCTATCATAGATGGGAAAAACAGATACAAGCCATCTACTCTATTAGCAGAAAAATTCTACCTATGCATAAGTAAAGGAATCAAAATTAAAGCTACCTTGGCTTTGGCTTTTCGACTGAAAATGTATAATAGGTGTACACACTGCTCCACTGATCTGGTTGTAAAAGTCCAAGAAGTAAAATTCTCCTAGAAACTAGCTTACAACATAGGGATAGGACTTTCAGATGTCTGACAGACCCAACTGACAGCCCCATCCCTCTTCCTGAAGAGTACAAAAAAAATGTCATCACTACTTCTTGAGATCATCTTCCATTCCACCATCCCCCACCAGCTCCACACACCTCCAGAAGCTGTGGGTTTGTGTACTGCAATGTGGCCATTTCTTGCTCAATTTCTGCTTGAGTTTTTTTCTTCTCTTCCAATTTAATGTCCTCTTTTCTATCGTTCAGAACTTCATTTGGAGCAGGAATTGGAACTTTGTTTTGCATCCAAGCCTTAGAAAAGAAGAGAATATTAAAATATACCCTAAGTATAAAGATAATGATAAGAGAAGGCCATTCTACACTGTCATCTGCTCAGTCCAACTTGCTGACCTCCTACTGGCAACTCTTAATGACATGGGAATGGAGTGAGGCACCTACATTACTCGGCAGAAATTTCTACATGACAAAAACTACAAGGTATTGCATATTATTAAGAGTCCAACAGCCAAGCATGGTGGCGCATACCTGTAATCCCAGCACTTGGGAGCCTAGGGCAGGATTTCCACGAGTTCAAGGCCAGCCTGAACTACATAGCAAAACCCAGTCTCAAAAATAAAGAAAAAAGCAAAGCACAGCAAAGCACCGCAAAGCACGGCATGGCACGGCATGGCACGGCACGGCACGGCAAGGCAAGCAAGGCAAAGCAAAGCAAAGCAAAGCAAAGCAAAGCAAAGCAAAGCAAAGCAAAGCAAAGCAACACTTTGCTGTTCATGAGTGGCACAACACCTGCAGTTTCACATTCAGGAAGCTGAGGCAAAAAGACTATCTGAACTCAGAAATTTGAAACCAGCTTGGGCAACACAGTGACAACTCCATCTCAAAATAAAAAGATGCCACTATCATGGTGCATGCCTTTAATCCTAGCTACTTGGGAGGCTGAGGCAGGAAGACTGAGTTTGAGGCTGCCCAGGCAACTTTCAATCCTATCTGAAAATAAACATTTTTTTAAAAAGGACTGGGTGATGTAGCTCAGTGCAAGACAGTGAGGGGAAGAGGAGGGAAAGAGAGAGAGGAGGGGACTGGCAGGCCTTGTCAGCCTCTACAAGGTACATTGTGTTGAGCAGACAATTAAAGCAGAAGGTAGACAGACATTCAACATTCTCTGCTCCATGCCTTCTCTCTCGTCCCACAACTTGGAGAATAAGTAGGTGAGTAGAGAAGAGAATACAGAGAAGATTCATGGCAAACTCAACAGAACTGCAAGGTAACAGATGGGTACTATGCCGAAAAACATGAATGTGAAGAGGCTCCAGGACAGTCCACAGTATACAAGCACTTCCAACAGAGGAGGTGATCTGAGAGAACATCAGCACAGGGAATCGACCACAGTCTCTCAGTGCACGGATTAGTTACTCACCTGCTGGAACTGAGCAGGAATAGGTTTAGCATAAGGGACTTTTTTCTGAGGTACTTTTTTCTGATCTTTTTGCATCACCTCCTCCATTCCCCAGTCTAAACCTGGTATTGTCATTTCAATTTCATTTGATTCATCTTTCCCTAAAGCCATAAAGAGAAGTAGTTAGCCCCTTCAGTGAAAGAAGTAGGAAGAAATTTTTTGGAAGAATAGATTTTTAAATATTAGGCACGTTCATAAACATTTCTAAATCTATATCATGCTGGCATTTCAACATAATTTATCATGAAAATAAGAGATAGGTCTACAAAAATTATATAAAAACAAAATTGGATATGTGTGATTTCGCTTACCCATCTGCTCTTGTTCCATAGCTAGTTTTAGTTGTTCTGGTATCCCCATCCCTGGAATTACTGCCAAGCTGTTAGGTTCAAGATCATCTACAAATAATAATATACTTATTCTTAATAGAGACTTTATCAAAGTAGTGGCCAATAAGATTAACACTTTATAAAAATGTATCACATATTGGGTGATTTATAAATCAACAAACTCTAAAACTTAAATTAGTTTTATATAATCTTCCCAATACCTAACACTTTTTATAACAGAATATCAACATTCCATAGAAGGGCAAATGTATAAGCCTCACCATATTCTACTCCATCTTCAGACATTCCAGGTAATAGGTTTAGATTATATCTATCTCGCATTTTATCACCTGGTCGATTTCGAGTCCAGAATTTGCTGTCCAAATAAAAGTAATAGGAGAGGAGAAACACAGTTTTAGTGTTTTTCTGGGTAGTTAATAGAGTAGTCTTTTGGTAAACAAATTTTTACAATGCCTTTCCTCTCAAAATGTAAATTGTGTGAAGATTTTGTTTTTTAAAATCAAAAGGCAAAAAAAAAAAAAATTAGATAAAGCCATGTTAAATATTCAGCATTCTTCTTGCAACATAAGTATTTGTAAACCATCACAAAAATGTTTCTAAAACCAAAATGAAATACAATTCAACACATCAATCAATAAATACATGTAATATTTCCCACTACTCCATGAGTACAATAATTCCTTGCAGTTTTTCACTATAAAACTTACCTAGTATGGTCATTTGAGCCTGAGCAAAGAATATGTCCAAGAGGATGCCAGGCCAGACTCCAGATCATCCCTTCATGGGCCATCTCCATCCCACCCACTTCCTTCTCAACCCTGCAACACCATAAAGAAGTTTATTTCTCAAAAGTAAAAAAACAAAAAACAAAAACAAAAAAAACCTTTTTATTTTAGCCTTAAAACAAAACTATTTACCCTCCCTTAATGCTTTCCATATCCAAAATCAGAGGTGCTACATTTTCTATTCCAAGCTGAATTTATAGAAATGAAACTTGCAGACAGATGCTAATATAGGAAATACTAAAAACTCAGAAAAAATGCAAAATTTGTATCATGTTTGTACAGGTTCAGATGCTTGCTCCATGAAATATACTGTTTATTGGACTTACCTATATCAACAGAATGTGTTAAAGGCACACTGCATGACTCAGAGAGACAAGGTCAGAAAAGATCACTTCCTACCTGACTCTCTTGGCATACCCTTCTCTGAAAATTCCCAACAGGGACCAGTCAGCACATTTAAAGAAGCACATACCACTTGAAGAAGCCATACAAAGGTGCTCTTATATATAATCCCCAGAAAAGTCTTGGCTTAAACTTTTCCCAGCCCTTGACCACTGAAATTTTCCCAGTGGATGCCTCAAGCACAACAAGAGCAGAGATAAGCTATCCCTGCTATGCCCCGTCCAAATTTCTGAAGCAGAATAAAATGTTTCTTTTATGCCACAGAAAAAATGATTTTGTGTGTGTTACTTCTCTTTAACATGCTGGGGATCAAACCCAGAAGCCTGCACATACTAAGCAAGCACTCTATCACTGAGCTATACTCCAGCCTTCTTTACATACCCAACATGCCAGAATAATAAAGAACCATCAGATCCTCCACTGGCAAACAGTCCTTCATGAACAGGATGCCAGGCCACAGCTGTGAAACAATAGCAAGGGAAAGAAAATTACTGGGGTCTGAGAATGATGCACCTAGTAAGTAGTGATCAGGACAAGACGTATTTCACAGCCACTGACCTGTGGCTTCTTTCTTATGACCTCGGAACACCTGAAGCTCTTCTTTCAGGTTCCGGATGTCAAAAAGCTTGCAGAGATGGTCACGTGATGCTGTGAGCAACCAATTGCCATTGAGGTTTAATTTTACTTCCATGACTGTATTTTTATGAGCATGACTAGAAACAAAGCATCAAGAAAATAAACCGTCAGAGTTCAAAACAAGCATCTGTTGATATAATGGCCATTTTGTTGACGTATGGACCAGAAATAATAAACCAGGCACCGTTATGGGACCACAATTAAAAGTACACTTGAAGAAAAAAGGTCAACAGAATGTCCACTACCCAAACATCACATTCACTATCCAGCTAAAGTAGCAGCAGAGCTTCAGTTGGACAGAAAAGTTTCATCTGAAGAGCAGGAGAAGCACAGCCACAAAATAATATTCAATAAAGCTCGTTAAAACTTTTAAAAGGCTCCAGACACAGTGGTACATGTCTACAATCCTAGCTATTTGGGAGGCTGAGATAGGAGGACTAAAGCAAGTTCAAGGCCAGGCCGGGCAACCTAGCAAGACCCTGTCCCAAAATAAAATTTAAAAGGGTGGTTGGTGCCTGGGAATGCAGCTCAACACTGCCCGGGTTCAATACTCTATAAATAAATAAATAAATGTATGTATGTATGTATGTATGTATATATGTACGTCAACAATGTTCCTTTTACTAAGACAAAGAACTTCAACTAAAGACAACATAACATCCTAAGGCTTGTGCAGAAGTATCCAAGGGACACCATCCCCAAGACACTGTATGTGGCTGTGTTCATGGAGCTGTCCAGAGCTCCAACCAGTTCACATGGTGGGTGGTTCACTTACCAATCAGAAGGGCCAGGATACAACATCTTGGGCAAAAGAACTGTGTATTCACGTAATGTTTCAATGTTTCAAATTTTTCAAATGTTTCAAGTAATTCAGAAAAAAAGCTGTATCACGCAGCTGCATTTTAAGTAAGCACATCAGACAAAAACTGAGAACCGCCTCAAAAATAGAGTGAGGCCTTCTCTAGAAATAGATGTTGTAGGATGGAGAAGGCTGGGCTATGCCTGATGAGAGGCACAGACATGAACTCTGCACCATGCCAAAAGGTATGTTCTGATGAGGAGACAGTAAGACAGAATGGCGACAATACTACCATCACCTCTTCCTGCTGGCAGCCAAACCAAATACCAAGCCTTACTTCACTAGGAATTTAGATAAAAGTCATATATAATTTAAAGAATTTTATAGATCCAAATCCATATGCTACCTAAATTACTTTCTCAGAAATAGCAGAAGACAAGAAACAGCTAAAAGTTAAAGAACATGAGGCCACTTTTGTTTCTTTTGTTAGAGGACCAGGGTGAGGTTCCTATCACTTACAGTGTTGCAAGACTCTGCCCAGTCTTGGGATCCCAGAACTTGATTGGCTGTTGACTATCTTTACTTCCCGAAACAACTAACCCTTTGGTTGGATGCCAGTCTACACATTTCACATCAGCACCATGCCCTGTCGAAAACAAGTTAGGATAAAAAAACCTAATCAGTCACATACAATTAAAGCAGGACTCACCAGGACTTTGTAGTTTAAACCAAAGTAGAGAAAGAAGTTTTCATCTTAGTGCTCAGTCAACTTAAACTTTTGAAGACTTTGGACACAGCAACATCTCTGCCCATGTCAAGAAGCACAGAAACAATTCCCTCCTAGAATTATGCACAGCTTCTCATCTGCTGGCCAGTAGGTCAGCCAACGCCTCTTGGAAGCTGCAGCCCTGGTGCCCTCATAAATAAAACTTTGTAAGTTTTTCATGCTGTTCCTGATTACCCTAATCATTAGATCCAATCTCATCATTCACTTCAGTTTTCCTACTTTGTGGCAGTCCATATACTTTAAAAGTAAATCCAGGTTTAGACAACACCACTTTCTAAACATGAAGATAGGAAAAGTATTACATCTGTCTACATGAGTTTACTGAAGTTCAGAGAAAAAAAAAAAAAACCTACAGCTGATTCACATAGGACATAATTGTAAGAAATTAAGTTACTAAAAATCACAAACATAAAAACCTGAAACTAAAGGAAATGAGTGTATTTCAGAACTTGAGCGCCATATTGATTCCAGGACATTTTATGCAGGAAATGAACTAGGCAGCAGCAAAAACTAAAGAACAGCACTTAAGAAAGCTCCCCCTATCGCACACTGAAGCCAGCCTGGGGAAGCTGCAGGTGGGAAGGGAGGCGTATGGGAGAATAAGACTAGGGCAAAGAGAGAAAGAGGAGGAGAAGTCTCCAGGCCCTGGAAGTGATGTGCACCCTTTCAGAAGGAGAGAAACACAGATCGCACACAGGCGGGGCTTATCTCCACAGTGCCCCATACTGGCAAGCATAGGGAGAGGCATATGATCTGCAGGCAGTCTGGCCATGCGTATGGAAAGCAAGAATACATACCCACAGCGCAGTAAGCCCAGTGCCCAGGTTTTACCATCAGGAAATAATGGATATCCAAAAAGATTTGTATAGAAGGATGTTTACTCTGAGGCAGTTTAGTTTTATCTTTTTTTTTTTTTTTTTTTGCCTTTTTTTTAAGACAGGGTCTATCTCTGCAGTTCAGGCTGGCCTTGAGCTCACTTTGCAGCCGAGGCTGGTCTCAAACTCACAACGATCCTCCTGCCTCAGCCTCCCGAGTGCTGGGATTACAGGTATGCACCACCACACCCGGCTGGCAGCTTAGTTTTAAATGCCCTTAAATAGGACACAGATATGTTACAATAACTGTTTCTGACAAACTCAACTTGGCTGAGACTAGAAATTAGGTAAATTGGAAATGAAGAGTGCAGAAAAAGAAAACCCTTTGCCTTGGAAAGGCATAGGTACTCAGAGAAATATATTTCTCATTATAAATGATCCAGTAGATGATTTAATAATGTGATTTAAATGGCCAAGTACTAAGTTTATTTTTAAAAACTCAGTGTGTAACATCACCATAAAAGGCAAACAAATCAAGAAAATGAATAACTGCATGTGCACCCCTATTTGGAGGAAAAAGGCAAGAGATCAAGATTCAAGCTGTTAAGAAATAATATTAAGCTGGAAGGTAGGATTTTGTTTTGTTTTGTTTTCTAGGGTTTTGTTTGTTTTGTCATACCAGAGATTGAAACTTGGGCTTTTCCACTGACCTACATAGCAACCTTTCTTTCCCCTCTAGGTTGGGCTCCAACTTGTGATCCTCCTGCCTCAGCCTCCTAGAGTGCTGGGATTACAGGTGTGTGTCACCACACTCATGAGGAAGTGGTATTAAGGTGGTTCTTCTTTTTCCATGTTTTTATATTTTCTTCAGAAATTAATTTGCAACTGGTATCTGAGAGTGCAAATAAGAAAGGGTGGTTTTGTTGTTGTATTGTCTTTAATAAAAAAGAACTGAGGAGAATGGGTACTGGCCAACTAGATATATTACTCAGATTGGATGCCGCTTGCTCTTGGACCTCACCCTCAATAACTGTTTCTGACAAACTCAACTTGGCTGAGACTAGAAATTAGGTAAATTGGAAATGAAGAGTGCAGAAAAAGAAAACCCTTTGCCTTGGAAAGAAATGACTGAACAGGAGAAGCAAGCAAGCAAATTGTAATGGGGTGTGTGCTGCCAATATACACTGTACATTTCACAAGCTTAGCCTTCTTTACTTTTTTAGCTATTTAACTTTGCAAGATCTAAGAGGATGGATCAAGTTTAAATGACCAGGCCAGTTGAATGTGGGGGAGAAACAGTCTGTGCTGTTCCTTGATTTCTTAAAGCACCAAGAACAAGGAAAGCCAAGCCTGTCTCTCCCACCTGATGGCTGGCTGGCTGGTAGTAAAGAAGAGATTGTGTGCTGGCAAAGGATGAAGTTGGGGTGGAAGGACGGTGAGACCCAGGGTAAAATCCATGCTTCCGTGGCAGGCTGTAAAATGCAATTTAATGAGTGCTGCAGAAAGGGGACCTTCATGCTCAGGCCTTTTTATTCTGAGACAGTGTCCTGCCAAAAGTCCCTAACTTGGCCAATTTGGGCTCACACTTGTAATCCTCCTGCCTCAGCCTCCCTAAGTGCACGCCTGGGCCACCATGCCCAGTTTCATTGTTCTTTTTATTGTTGCTCAAATGATTTTATTTCTTGGAATGCATAGTATAATAGGCAAACAAAAAATTTAAAACAAAAAACAAGTTAACAAAAAAAGAAGTGAAACTTGAAAAATTGAAATAGACCAGTTAGTCCTCCTAGGCCCTTGATTGTCTTAAGAAATTTTGTTATTAATGCTCAGACATGAAAAAGACAAGGCATAGAATCTTAAAAATTCATGGGCTACTATCACCCAAAAATAAGTCTTATTTATAGCTAGGTATGAATTTTAATAGATCAAATTAGAGTTTATGGCAAATACATGAGAAGCATTTTTAAATTACACTGTGCTAGGCAAAAAATTATTTTTAGGAGCCACCTCTATCCTCACCTTCAGCGAGACACTGAGCACATAAAGTATACCAGTTTAAAGACATATTCATCTTAAAGAAGAATATGCAAAAATAATGGCTATCAACCTTGAACTTTGTTTTCTCAAGTCCTCTAAAATTTACTTGCGTAAAATCCAAGCAATGGAGAAATCCCATGAACTTACCCATATCTATCACAGATATAAATTAACAGAGTGGTACTGAAGCTCAAATTTGGGGGAGAGGGGGAGGTCATGGTACTTAATATAAAAAAAGTAGAAACATTAGCAAACATATTTAAGAATGGTATTAGTCAAAACAAGAATATATTATTTATTTTTACATATGACAATTCACAAAGTTCTCTTAATAGTTGAAGAACTTGCTCTGGATCACAGTTCATATGTGACAGAGCAGAAATCTTAATGCAAGGAGCACCCAGGGACATGCACATATTTAGTCTTAAGTATCTCTCTAAGTACATTACAAAATTAGGGAGCTGAATGAAGGAAACTGACCTTACAACCCGTATGCTTTGAAAGACTACTCTATTTTTTTTGGTCCCGGGAACTGAACTCATGACCTCAGGCTTGCCAGGCAAGCACTTAGGCCACTGAGCTATATCCCCGGCCCTGAAAGACTACTCTAAACTACCTTCTGAGACTAGAATATATACTTTCTTCCTTGCTCCCACATGCATAAAGTATCCTGAAGGATTTAGAAGTCATGTCTTTTTTAATCTTTTTTTTTTTTTTTTGAGACAAAGTCTTGCTATGCAGTTCAGGCTGGCCTTGATCTCACTATATATAGCACAAGTTGTTCTCAAACTTGCATCGATCTTCCTGTGTCAGCCTCCTAGAGTTCTGGGATTACAGGTGTCTACCACCACATTCAGCATTATTCCATTTTTGAACCTTGCTCTTGTATTATCATTTTTAAAAATTAAATACAAATAAAGTTATCTAAGTATGTGCCCCTCCAAAAAAAAAAAAAGAGCTAGGTATGGTAATGCACATCTGTACTCCCAGCTACTCCAGAGGCTGAGGCAAAAGGACTATAAGTTCAAAGTCAGCCTGGGCAATTTAATGACTCAGCAAGACCCTGTCTCAAACATAAAAGGGTTCAGGATTCAGCGTGCTAACAGTTGCAGCTTAAAAGCTTCCCCCCAGCACACACAAGGACAAACATATACATGCGTCTTAAGAATGCCTAAACTGTGTCTGCCAAGAACAGACAAGAATCAGATACTAACTGCCTCCACTAGGTGAAACAGGTAGGCACAGAGAAAATGGTAGGACACTTTTTAATGTACAAGTAGCCCTCACCCAAAAATCAAAATCTGAAACTTGCCAATATTTGAAAAATTTTTAAGAGCCAGCATAATGCATAGGCAGAAAATTCCACACCATGCACAAAACTATTTAAAATATTGCATAAGTATGTGTATGTACCAATTCCACATGATGGAATGTGTTTCTTATGTATCACAAACATATACTTAAAAAAAAATAATAACTTAAAAAAAAGATAAGCCAGGTATACTCCTGTAATTCCAGTATTCTGGGAGTTCCCCAACCTGGGCAATTTAGCAAGACCTTGTCTCAAAATACAAACTAAAAACAGTGAGGACATGACTCAGTACGAAAATCCAGGCTTCAATTCCCAGTACCATCACCAGAAAAAAAAAAATATGAAATTACCTTCAGGATATGTATACGAGGTACATATGAAACAAGTTGTGTGTTCTCACTTAGGTCCTAGCCTCAAGATAGCTCATTATATATATATAAATATTCCAAAATCTGAAAAACTAAAATTAGAAACACTTCTGGTCCCAACTATTTCAGATAAGGGATGCTCAATCTGTATACTGTTTTCTGAAGCACATACACTAGTTGGGGCGGGGGCCCAATTAGCAAATCTAAATTTACTAAATAACATCTAATTGCCTCTGGAAAGTAGGTGTGAAATTTATAAACAGCATGTCATTTTTATGTTTTCTTAAGTGAAAACAGAAAACATATTAAGCTAGCATAGAAATAAAC